TGGTGTTCAACGATTGCGCGAGAAGAATCACGGTGGTGATTGAGCAAATATCGTGGGCGATTTACGTGGGCCGACTCCTTGATCCGAAACGGTACGTCGTCCATCTTCAAGTACGAAATCGGCGAAGAATGAAGAAATTGAAATTTGACTTCTTCTCACGCTTACGCCCTCTTAAATCAAAGATGCCACGCGCAAAATTTGCTTAATCAGCATTTAAAAAACAATCACAATTAAAAAAATGTTTAACTGACTTATTTACATGATCGACGGACTCTTTAATTAATTATACGCATTGGAAATTTTGAAGTTAATTAGCGATACTTTATGTAAATTTCATAAAGTCGATAGCTCATATGAAGGAGGAGAAAGAGAGGAGGAAGAGACGAAGAGAAAGAGAGAGAGGAGGGAGGGAGGGAAAAGACAGTTATTTATAGAATTTTTGAGGTCAGCGGGAACTGCTTGATCTCGTCGAGATCGACATACAATTTGACTTATGATCGCGATAAAAAACAACGCGGCGCGAGAAAGAGAGAGACGATTGCGTGGGAAGCGATCGGGATCGCGCGGATTCTTGTAGATCGAGGAAACGAGGACGAGGTGCTGCTGGATTAGCTTAGCCTGTGTGAAGTTCTGTGAAAGGGTGCGTGTTAATTGCGAAAAGCAGGTAGCGGTTGGCGTTGATATTTATTAATGCGGTTTGATTAACCGTCGTTTGATTGTTTTTCTAGTTCATCTCGAATCAGTCCCGCATAGCATCTTAGCATTCAGAACAATTGAACAATTTTATTGACGTTCAAACGAAAAATTCAATTAGGATGGAAAATTAATTTACGATACGTACGGTAGTACGGATTCATGCCAATCCGAGAACAGGTGATTTTACATTCCTTCGAAGACACATGTGGAAAATTGAATTCTCGAGTGGAGAGTTAATTGAAATTACGAATGAAATCTTAAGAGTTACGGATTTGGCATAAATACGTAGAAATTAGAAAATTGATGTGACGTCATTTTTATCGAGGAACGTGTAGAAAGTTATTATTGGTACTCAAATATACCGCTGATCATTAAAATTGCAAAACTATATATATGCATTTATATAATATTGCAATGTATAAATATATTATAGAATTAATCAAATTAGATACGAATTAAATTAATGTAGAAAGTTTTATCGACGCTGAAACGGGATTTTAATCGGAAAAAATGTAAACTCAATACTTAAAGTGTGTCTACACCTTTATAATATAATTAACTGGTTAAACGTCATATTCTACTTGATATGTAGAAAATTTAATCGTCACGCGCGATTGGAAAATTAGTCGATTAATTATAAATTATGATCTAAGAACGTGAAAATTTCAACTTCAATATAAAATATTACAGTAATTAGGAAATTCCATGATAGATATTTTATATAAAATATAATTGACTGTAAAATTAATTTAATTATTATTTTAATTTCACAGTAAATTTAAATGACATTTGATTAAAAATTAATTATTACGAATAAAGAAAATGAGAGATTCCGGTCCGATATGAATTTTGATAATTAAAGGACAATCATGATATCACACCATTTTGACAACACACGTGTTTCCAGCAGTTTTTGACAGCTTTGTATGAATCACAGAGGATAAATCTATCACGTGCACGTGTAAGTGCATGAAGAGAGCCCACTGCGATATCTAATTACACATTCCGTCATCATGGTGGTGTCGCATCGCGAGCCTAACATATCATCGAACATACGGGCGATAATCGAGCAACTGAACTTGAACCCGGTGGAGAGGAGACGGTTGATCGATAAGACCAGGCAGGAAGGTAATGCACGATGCAAAAACTTCCCGGACGATATAGTAACGGTAGAGTCGCAAGCACCAAAGATCAGCATCGGCGTTTATGGCTGTAAAGATCGAAGTACCGAATTCAGAGTGCCAGATCGTCCGATTACAGTGCGTAAGATCGAGATCGAGCGATCGAGATCGAAGGTAGACACGCGACAGAGGCTCCCGACGCAAAAAAAAGAAGCGCCTCTTGTATGCCAGGTGAAAATAAAAGCACCTTCCACGCAAGTAGAGAGAGAAGTGAGGATGGAACGTGTAACCACAAACGAGGTAAATCGATGATAATCGCGATCGAAACTCGTTGTACTCTTGTAGAGAGATAATTGCAATTTATTACTAATCGCAATTTATTTTAAATTTAACATTTACACGGTTGTATCTAATTTATTCGTTGTTTTATTTACAATATTTATATCATCGGATATTTAAATCCTCGATACTAGGAATTTTGCTAAACATATATTTACATCAATATCTATATTTATCTATGTGTGTCTATTTATCTCAGTGTAGATACTTGATATTATATGAAAAATGTTTCTTAATCAAAAGTACATTATATATGTGAAGTGTTGCATTTAACATTAACAAGTGTCATATTATATATACAATATTATATATACAATTATAAAATAATATATTATAAAATATTTACAATTATAAAATAATATATAATATTATATGTACAATTATTAAATTTTTATTAACATTATATCACGAATTATCAATTTATCAAATCGGGATTGCGTAAACTAGGAACATCTTAGATTTTTTAATATTCCAAAAAATTTTATTAAACGCGTCTCTTTAATTACATCGAACGCAAACGAAGATATATGATCATGTACAAATATGAAAATGCGGATATTTAATTTGAGATATATAAATCACTCAAGGGCAAGTTCGAGTGTCGGTCGATAGTGACTATTGGACCCTTTCAAAATGATACGGTTCTTACCAAGGATGATAACCGAACGAGATCGACGACGATGCCAGTGTCGACGAAGATCGTCCCAACAGGTCATAAAATCATCAAGAGAGAGCATACTACTCGAATCGACTCCTGCACGATCGAGGTAATCGATCGAATGATAAATAGCGAGATTTCCACTGCGTGATAAGCACGTGTCATTTATATGACATAATTATTACGCACGACTAGTATAACAATTATATAATCGATGTGTACGATCTATCTGCCTAAGGACAAAATCGTAGACGCATCAGCAGTATCGATGAGACCATTGTACAAAATTGAAGATTGTCTCACAATCAGATCGAAGAAGCTAGATACGTCGACAAATATCAGAATTTCTCGAGCTACGAAGGAACAGATGATTGCGAAGGAACAGACTCGCGTCGAGGACACGGTCGAGGTAATCGATCAATTAATATTAACGCGATCCCTTAAATATAACGGGACGAATCAAATATAATTTATTTCAGAAAATTATAATATATTAATTAAATATATATTTATTAGATTAATTTCTGTTTCATATTTTTCTGAAATGAGATTTTTCAAAACATTTTTTGTAAAAAAACTAAAGAAAGAAGTTTCAATAATTTATATTAAAAGAGATTACGCTATTATTTATATTATATACATATAATTAATATAAAATAATTATTTGTTGTATATAATATAAAATAGGATTTATTAACGCTATTATTTATATTATATACATATAATTAATATAAAATAATTATTTGTTGTATATAATATAAAATAGGATTTATTATATTTTTTTATGTTGTTAAAAATCATTAAAATCATAAAATAAGAATTATTATATATATTGTTTGTGTATAATATATAAATAATTTTTATATTATTTTTATATTATTTTTATATTTTCTTATATGTGTATATTTTATTTTAATCTGTAATTATGTAACATTTTGAGATATTATACAAGACTCAATGTTCAGCGTACAAACGACTTTAACGGGAAATTAGCGTTCACGTTCGTGTCTCATTACCGTCTTGTGCTACGCTTGTGTGACGATCGAATCGCGTGAATCGCGCGATCGCCCGTGCAATTACGCTGGTTAAGAGAGGACGGTTGATTCGAGAGTTCACCTATATCTCCCTTCCTCCCGCATTATCACGCTTCTTCCCCTCGCGCGATAGTTTTCGCATTCGGGGCCGAAAGCAAGCGGCGACGCACCTGCGACCGGTTCCAAAGCCGATCGCGGTTAAGTGGCCGCGACTCGACTCTCGCACGGTGGTCAATACCGTTAGAGAACGACCGAGCAACTTGCCTCGCTCTTTCTCTCTGCCTGTTCGTTGAGAATAACGCCGGTAACGGCGTCTGGAATTACGTTACACCGCATCGCGCGCCAAGTCTCTATCTCATCGCATATGAGGTAGATCGGTCAATAAATCGAAAATGATGAGGTTCAAAGGTCTCCAGAGAAAGAGAGGGAGAGTTGGAAGGTGTCTCTCGATACTGTCAGAAAATCATCAAAATTATCAGGATATATTTCAACAACAAATAAATTAGATTAAAATAAGTAGGTTTTTCGATATTAACAGAATATCATGTGACAAAGCAAAGCAAGTATGTACGAATCAAAATCAAAATTTTTTAAATAATAGAGATGAATGTGTATACATATATTAGTTCAGGCTCATTAAGTCTAGACTTTGTTGGATTTTAGCTCGAATGAAATATTAACAAGTTTTATTTTTTTTATATTAATTGTTTAAATTATGTAATAATTTATAATATAATAAAATTTATAATTAATTATTATTAATATATTATTAATAATATAATATAATATATAATATATATATATATATATATATATATAATTATAATATAATATAATAATATATATATATATAATTATAATAATATAATATATAATTAATATATTAATAATAATATATAAATTAATTATAATATAAAATATATATATTAATTATAATATATAATATATAATTAATTACAATTAATTATAAATATAATATTATTATTAAACACATATATATTCTATAAGAAATTAGAAAATTTTCAGGTATCTTCGAGCGATTTATGAGTTCTCAAAAATCAGAACGTGCAAGAAATCGTGAATTAAGATTCGTTGGCATTGCATGATACATAATTAAGTCGATTAGATAATAAAAGCCATTTTCTTACGCAGATTACGAGATCAACGAAAGATACGGTCGATCGAACTGTTCTAGTGGCCAAGGAAGATTTACGTAAGTTTCATAAAAAACGTTATTCACACGGTGTCATTGCTTTACAACACTTTAAATTACACAACTAATTTACGTAATTTACACAATCTTGCCTATCTATAGTTATTTAATTATTATTTAATTCAACTTTGCCAAAAAATAAGAATTATTTTTCTGAATATATTTCTCTCAGGAATGATATCCAGGATTAAATTTAAGTTCGTAATGTTCAATCGCTCTAAATATTACTAAATAATCTGCTAATCTTTACTTTGCATATATTATTTGTAACTCGATATTTATAAATTATTACTATATATTACTATATATCAAGTACACAAGTCATATGCATTACTTTCTAGTAAATATCGCTTATATATGTAAATAAGAAATTTTTATCTATTAATATTTTATATGATAAAAATTATACTTCCGATTAATATGATTTCTCTATTGTTTATAAAAATCTCCGAATTATGAGTAGATGGAAAAAATCCGATATAAGAGACTCTTTAATGACATCTTGCAGTCTTTACTCTTATTATTAGAAAAAACAAGCATTATTAGAATAAGCAAGTCTTTTTGTATTCCTAATTTCAATCTGTTGTTATATAAACAATATTTACCACATATGTATCTATATGTTATATATTATATTTCGAATATTTCTCAATAATTTCTCAGCTAATGCTATTTTTTCCTTTATTTATAACAGCACAATTGGAAAGCGCGAGCTTGAATCACACGGCAGCGCATCATAGGATTTCTGTACGTCCGAAGAACCGACGTCCACCACGTCGTACAGTATCGACGACAACGCCATCGTCTGATGTCGGCGTTTCCAACTCACCATCGATACCACCGACTATTGCCGAAGATTCCGTAGATAGTTTGGAACAACAAAAACAGGAGCAGCCTCAATCGACGATCAACAATAATAATATGTCATCGACAGAACCACCACCCAAGACTGTTGGCGTGATCAGAAAGTCATCGAGCCGACTGTCTCGCAACTCCGACATCTTTGAGGAATTAGAATCGAAGCTGTCGAGGAAGACAAGTGCAACCTCATTATCTCCAGACAGCCTGGACGTCACAACGATATCACAGAGCAGCGCAGAAATGGCCACCGCTGTCGAGGAACAGCAGCAGCTGGAGGTCAAATGGATAACTAGAAAACCATCAAACCGGATATCCAAAGGCTCCGATGTATTCGAGGAATTGGAGACAAAACTGCCGCGCAGAAGATCTTCATCGAATCGATTGTCCAAATCGCCGGACAGTCTGGATTCGGCTCCCGGTTGTTGGTTCTCCAAGTCCACCGAAGAGGCCTTCGACAAATTAGGGGAGTATGAGGAAATTGCGAAACCGGTAACCTCAGCCAGGCGATCGTTACTGAATCCGATCTCGAAGTTCACCGATCGCGTCTCCAAATCATCGGATAGTTTAGAGGCAATCGAACCATTGATAAGCGACGATTCAATCGAACGACGACGAAACAGCTTTGATTCCCGAGCGCGTAAAAGCTCGAAGATAATATCTAAATCGTCGGAGGACTTTGATATACTTGAACAAAACAGTTGCATTGAAGAAGACATCGGTCAGGAATTGCAAAAGAGGAGTAGCGCGTCCGATATTAACCTGTCGCGCAACCGAAGACTGTCGAAGAGTATTTCTAAATCGTCTGAAAGCTTTGAGAGGATCGACATGAACGATATGAAAGATGACGTCGATGTAGAAATACTATTGGAAGATGATGGGCCGAAAACAGGTGGCAGACGGTCGACTAAGAGGATGTCCTCGGAAAGCTCAGATAATCTAGACGTAGAAGATAGGCTAGAGAATAGAAGAATCAGAAGGACACCCAAAAGAATGCCGAGCACCAGTATAGTAGATATGATAGTTTCTGGAGACGATCACGAGAGAGAGAGGCGACCGACTCCTACTAGGAAACCGTCAAGACTTCAAAAATCTTCGGAAAGTTCAGAACTGGGTAGTACAGATACTCTGGATTCAGAAAGAAGAAACAAATCGTCGGAGAGCACTGAAACGCTGGACAGCCTGGAAAAGGATTTGGAACAAGATAGAAAAGACGAAGAGATTACGGATAATGTGGTGGACAAGCGTGAAAAAAATGTAAGATATATGATTAGAGGAGATGCAATATATAAGGATATATGTATTAAATTACTAGATTAATTTTTATTTATTCTTTTGATGTTTTCCTAAAAATATTTTCTTAATAACAAAAAAATATATCCTAATAATTTCTTTCAGGATTCTTGGTCCAGCAGAAACGCGGCAGTATCTGATTCCGATCAAGCATCGATGGGGGATGACACTGAGGACTCCAAGTCGCTTATTTCTGCCGATAACAAATACTATTGGCGCCAATCCTCTGAACCAGTATCTAAGGAGAACTTGGGTATTCAACAATTATTAGCTATTACGATAATGACCAGGATGGCCGATAATGGAAACAATCAACGCGGATCCGTCATGTACCCGAAGAAACGGCAGCAGATGAGCACATCACAACCGACATCACCGGTAGCCAAGCAGGAAGACACGAAGATACTGTTCGATAACTTGCTAGTGAACAGCAAAAATGATGAGGATCTTCAGAATATGCTCAACGGAAACATATCGGAAGTATCAACCGACACCAAAAGCTTTAAAGAAAAACTGATCATGTTCGAGAAACTCGGGAAATGAATGCGCGATGATAAAACGATGTGAAATCGTTCTCGCAATCCTTTTCTCGATTAGCGGACCACTTTGATGATGGTCAAAGCTTAATGCAAAAATACGGGAAATCTAAAAAGATACACGATCTCGTTTAGTGCTTGATAAATATACAGATATTGTTGTAGAATACATCTTAGTGAAATACATCCTAATAGAACCATTTGGATTACAAGGAGTGGATACAAAAGGAAATCAAAAATTCGATTGCAGATAATTATTTTTCACAGAAACTTTGAATATTCGCAGAGCTATGAAATTTGAATTAAAAAATAATGAAAGATAGGTTCGCGTGCGATAAGTGTAATTGTATGTATAAAAATAGTAAATTAAAATATTACTCTAAATACTGATTTAGAAGGTAAATTTTTGAAGTATCAATAAATATTTGATTTAAATTATGTCTTAATAATTTGCATGTTTTATATGTTAATTCGTGTAAGTATAATGTAACATCGCGGAATCTGTAATTCTTTAAAAATCTTTAAAAATCAAAATAGCGCATTCAAGTCGATAATACTCGGTTCTGCTTCATCACATCGCATGCATTTATCGGGGAACAAAAATATCAGCCCGGCGACAATTTTCTCAATTCTCGCGGTCGTGTTCTTTTTACACGATTAATATTTTGTTGAGATTATATCTGATCGTGCATTAATGCTCATTATAAAGGAACATATTCGCATATGTATGTACATTTTCGTAAAAAGCTTTAGCGTTTACTCGCAAGTAATTGTACAATAGTTTAGCAGTGATATGATTCTCGGCATGTGACCGCATTTATAAATATCGTGTATTATCTCATATCATGTAAATATGAAAAAAATATGTGTGCGTTATCACTTTATCTGGAAGGTAAAAAAATACATGTATAAAAATGTATCACATATATATAATATACAGGGTGTATTATAATTCACATTCATGAATTAAATAGCACCATGAAAGAAAAATGAATTGAAAATTTATGAAATTATATTTTTCTGCGATGCTTAACGAAGAAGAAATTATTATAAATAATAGTTCAACAAGCATCGTTTTTTAAAGCTAGTATATGTTCGCAAATCGTGCATCGAATAATATACATACATGATACATTCAATTCAGCAAACAATATATACGGAAGCATGTTTGTCTAAAAAACAGCGCTGATTAGACCTTGTTTAATAATTTCACTTTCACATTGAGGAAAGCAGAAAAAATTGTCTCAAAATTTTTCGATTCAATTTTCATTAAGAAATAATGTTTTGTGAGCGCAAATTATAATACACTTTGTATATTAACGTTGATAATTGTAGTAGAGTCGCGGGATATAACGATAGTCTAAGAAATGTTACGTGTGTACAATTGTATTTTTTCGATGCTCGAAAACTGTTTATTCTATATAAAAGTATATATTACTCTTATACAAATTGCCTACGGGTCTAAAACGTATAATTACGTTAAAATAGGCCTATAATTCTCTTGGTCGATAAAATGTCACTAGATATTAAGAGTGATGGTCTCAGTTTAATTTTAAATGCCTCTAGAAGATTGAAAAGAGAAATAATGTATAAAAAGAGAAAAATTGCGATATTTTGTCGATAATTGAAGCAACCCCCGAACTTCTCGTCTTTCTTTCGATGATCCAGAAAGCGATATCAGCGCATATCTTATAATCGCCGAATTTCGCGAAAGAGAAATGATTTTTGTAGCCTTTCAAGTGCCTTACCGAACCAATTGAAGGAACTGAATCGAAGTAGGTATCGTCGGTTATAAAGAACATAAAAATGTTACATCGTCATCCTCCTTTTGCTCTTCTTTAATTATTTAGATGATAAATGTACGTTTTTTCGGATCCCGAAAGTGATGCAAAAACATCGTCTCTTAGAATAATTAGAAAAGAAAAACTGGATTTAACTATCAAGTCTCATTGTAATATTATGTAATAACATACAAGGAATAACAAGATGAATTCTACACGCAGACATACATATGCATATACACGCATTTACACAGAACAAATCTCTTTTCATTGATGTAAATAAAGCTGCCATCACAAATTACAGTTACAACAGAAACCTCTTTCTCTCTTTATTATATATGTATCCCGGTATCGCGCATAGTATGATGTACACTGTTAAAAAATTACAAAATATCCGACTTAAATGTTGAACATATTCTGTACGTATATGTGACTAATCAAACCGTGGAAACGGTATGTAATTTTTTTTCCTGTTTCTTATCGTCTCGAGATATACGTACAAGTATAGTATAAAGTATGTTTCATCACTGGCACTTAGCCGTGATCTCAATTTTATTTTTAGATCACATAAAAACTTCTCCATGTACAAAAAGAGGAATGTAACAGTCAGTTTTAATACAATAGCTTTGCACATAGTAATGATCTCTTTATCGATGTCGGAACAAGATAAGATTTAAGAATTAATTATCTTACAATTATTAATCAACTTTTCGTTCAATACTGAGTCAACGGACTCTTCGGATGCAGTGATGAATAAGTGATCGCGATCGTAACGTTGTAGTTTATATACACAGTAGTGTATTTGAACAAAAAAAGATATACTCTTCTAATTAATACAATATTATTTTTTCATTTCAAAAAAATATTTAAACATTAAATAATCCGTCATGTATTGTATCACATTTGCCAAAAGTTTCTTTCTTTTTTTTATCAATTTCCGACTATAATGTGTGTGTAAATTAACATAATCCAAAGATAAAGTGTATCACATATACACATACATCGGTTTTTATATAATGATTTCCACTAGTTTATAATTTAATGTACATAAATGCGATATAAAAAAAGTGATCGATTTTTTGATCGATCCAATACATGACTAGATTCTAGAAGTTAATAATGTTTCATTCTTATTACAATTTTATCTTGTATTTATATAAAGTACTGATATTAAAGCACTATACACGGTTGACATCTTTTGTGAACTTACACCCATAAATGCTTAAGTAATTTTCACTAACTATGTTATGGAAAAAAAATCGTGTAATGTATTATATATTTCAATTCAGGACGAATCAAAAATTAGAGAAAATATAAAACTTACTAGTTATATTATTACTTGCGACTGCATTGTGGAAATATTTGCGAATTTGTCCAACGTTGCTTTCTCGATCTTTGCAACACGTCTCGCAATCCGCGAAGAGCGTAAGTGCTTGACGATTCACATTGTACGTGCGACTGACCACGTGCGCGCGCTTTTATTGTTTTACTAATGAAGCAATGACTTCATAGTTCATCGTGCTTGTCCGTGGTGTCCGAACTGGGATTGCAGAGTGCTGGAGTGGAGAATTCCATCGCGTATTCGCAACGACTTGGTTCCGTCACCGAGATGAGCTTGTTCTCCGTTCCGCACGACAAGGTGACAATGGTAGAACGTGCCGGACCGTTCCAGCAAGTGAGACCACGATCGTACTTCATTTTGGTGTATTTGTTAGCGGCTGTTCCTACCCAATCATACCAATGACCCAAAGTAACGTCACTACCGCCAGATTTAGATTTCTGTGAGGTTTTACCGAATAAACACAACTTGTAGATGTATTCTAGATCAGTGTATTCGAAGCATTCGCCATCAAGCGACGCGAATTCTTCTTGTGGCCCGTAATCGCGTTCAAGTTTTTCCTCCAGCTGTCTAATCTCTGATTCCAATTCATTGATAGCTTTCACGGTTTCTTGAAAACGTTCACGAGCATTGTTAGCCTCGTCAACGAGTGCTTGTGTTTCTTCGTCATATTGGACTTCTGGTTCCTGTGGTTCATTTTCCTGTTCCTGTTCCTGTTCCTCTTCAGGGACAGTTCCCTCTTCTTCTATGTCGGTAATTTCTCCCTCTTCATCTTCTTCCTTCTCATGATCCGAATCATCCAAAGATTGTTGCTCGTCAGCCTCTTTTTTATTTTCTGCAGCTTTAAACATACCTGCAATTATATAATTGATTCCATAACAAAGTTATAGACTATAGAAAAAAATTAAATTATAATGTTAATTACCTTGCTCCAACATTAAGTAAGGTTTTATGTTTGCCCACGCGGTATCTACAAATTCTTGCAGAGTGACTTCCTTCTTATCAGTGAGAAAATATAGTGCTTCTTCTTCCGACACAGCCCCATCTCTATTTTTATCGAATGTAGCCCTGGTTTGCAATTCTGCCACTGTTACTGTACCACTGGAATCTGAATCTAATATCTTAAAATAATCTTCCGCTTCAGGGGTACTTAATTTCTCTTCTTCCTCTCCAGGACTCTCTTCTGTTGCCGATTGTTGCTCCGGCTCGACGGGTTTATACTTTTCCAATGCCACGCTCTCCCGTTCCTCTGCCTGTGTCTTCAATATCTCCTTCTCCCTCTTCAATAATTCTGCCTCTTGATAGTCCACTCTTAGCTTCGCCAAACGCGATTGATGCTCTGCCTTCATTGTTTTGCCTTTCGCTGCTAACTCCACGCGCAGCTTGTTACCCTCTCGCGCCAACTGTTCCGCCTTCTGCTGCTCCAATCGGGCCTCTCGGCCCAACTCGCTGCAGTTGTTGACACATTCTACCCTGGAAGCATATTCGTCGCTCGTGTCACAACAGTCGCACACGCCGTCGTTGACCCATGACGACGGTATGTAGACCTGTTTATGTCCAACATTGTCGCAGTAGAACCAGCCGTTGGCACACGCTGTCGTCCCGGGCTCATCGCTACCATCCCCGCAGTCGCAGTAATCATCATTGACCCACGTGAAGGGTATTAATTTGCTACCGTCCAGGCATTCGAAGTCGCGGTCCGGACGATATAATGGGTTCTTTATCACCGGTATCCCGCGAATCTGTAAGACCTCTGAACCGGCTACGTGGCCCGGCGTGGCCAAGAAGAGGAGGAGGAGGCTCGCCAACATTGCGAGCATCAGCGATGTCTGACGGTGATTGTCCATCCTCTAGTTCGAGGAGAGGTCTCTTTAAGTCACGTCACTCACTCACGTCGCTCACTCGAGCGAATTACAGGAGCGGGAATCCTTTTCTTTGAGGTTCGAACACGAACCTGACACGACTCACCTGGCACGTTCGTCCTTCTCCTTTGATTGCGCCTAGATAACACAATTAGTGTTACCAACTGTCTAGAGATAGAATGTCCGACAGAGTTTTTTCCACAAACATGTAAAACATATAGACGGAATATTAGCTGCTGATATGAACACACGTATACAGGGAGTTTTAAATATCTTTGTTCTGATTAATTAATCGAACGTTATTCTCTATTCCAAGGAATAAATTTTGAAATGCAATTCATCAAAAAACAATCTAGTAATACAGGTATTAAAAAAACAGTTTAACAATCAAAAATGATTTAGCATCAACGAATCAATATGGAGTGTTGACAAAACAAATGATTTCAGAACCAATCACGTTCGATTGCTATTAAATTTGTAAAATCCAGAGCAATTGAGATTTGATCAATCAGATGCAAAGAAATTTTAATTTACTCACATACCTGGAAATGATCTAATTTCGTAGTAAAACATGTACACATATTAGATGGATCGCTACTTTATCAGTTATTCACTAATTGACAGACTATTGTAACATCATAACCAAAAACATTGACTTCACATGCAATTTATTGAGAGACAAATAATTTACAATTATTTCCAATATCACTGTTTAAAGTGTGATAAATAAAGTCAAAATATTTCCTAGAAGTTGCATATACTGCTATAATTGTTTATCGCTAAATATTTGATGAACAATTTTTTTAGCTCAAATATACATATAACGTAAACAACAGCAGAGATCCATCTTATATACATTTTTTTCTAATTCTGACCTCGATTTTATAAAATAGCAGATACAGAAGGAAAATTCATTACAATATATTATAAAGTTAATGATACACACATACACATACACTCTATATATATATATACATATATAAATCGACCAATTCCGTGCCGCCATTATGCGCGAACGCTTCACCTGACGTGCCTGCGCATCATAGCGGCGCTCAGCTGGTAGTGACTCGGCTGATGGTAGCAGCCAGTAAGGGATAATGTGACGGATGGCCGCGTCTGGTGTTTAACAGCCCATATATCTCGATCGTGCCGACCTCGATACTCGTGTTGATTTTGTGAATGTCATTGCACGACAATAGGCGATGCGGCGGTCAGACCATTAAAATGGCAACGAGCAAACGGGCGTCAAACATCGACATCGTCATTACGCTGCACGGGCTTCTGTAATTCGCGCGGTGGGGAGATCGAGATCGCAGGATCTCGCACGAATGCGACACGAAAGCGACGAACAAAGCTGATAGTGAACATGGGCAATTGCCTGAAGCGCGCCGCTGGCAATCAACAGGACAATACCACTCTGCTGAGCAACAATACCGAGCCCAACATCTCCACTAGTGGATCCTCGCAGGAGGGTCTCGGGCCGCCGATTCCCTACAACGTAATAACGTCGTCATTCGCGTGTAGTCATTCTTATCAGCTGGGAAATTGTGTCATTTCTCTTTCAGACGAATGATTTTCGAGCTCCGTCATTAGTGACTTTTTTTTTCTCTTTCTAGCTTGAAAATACCTGAGTGTACCTGATTTTAAATTTTACTGATTTTGATTTTAATCCAGACAAAGAGTTGAAGTCTAGTTAAAGATACGTGCTAATTCTTATTAAAATCTTAATCAAATAAAATAATAAGTTTTTGGAGCAAATGTACATCTCTTCGAGGAGTCATATAAATAATATTAGAAGTAAAATTATTGAACTAATTGATTTTTCAATGTTTTACAGCAAGCAGCTTATTACCCATCAATTGCTACGAGGGAACGTCATTTGCAGTCCACCAACTTGAACATTGGTCGTGGCATCGGAGTCAATTTAGTGCAGACCAGTGGCTCATCTGGTTTGAGCGAAGAGGAACAACAAGTGAGGATCGCTAAGCGCATAGGACTGATACAACATTTGCCAATGCGAGAATACGATGGTGCAAAGAAAGGCGAGTGCGTGATATGCATGATGGAGCTGCTGGTGGGCGAAGAGGTGCGCTATTTACCCTGTATGCATACCTATCACGCGATCTGCATCGACGATTGGTTGTTACGCTCGTTGACTTGTCCGTCATGCATGGAGCCAGTGGATGCAGCGCTGATTAGCTCATATCATCCGACTACTTAATACCAGAAGTGATTGGAATTTTATTTGGTTTGGCCGATCAGCGAATCGGAATTAAATTATCAGACTAAGTGTGAAGCAACCATTGAAGAGAAAGCGAGAGAAAGAAAGAGAAAAAACTCGCTACTTTTACTAGAGCATATTAAAAGGCTTCAAGGTTAGTAGAGAGATCGTGTGTTAATGGCCTGATTATATTTCGCCATTACACTTGATTTGTTCGTGCGTGCTGTTTAATAATAATCTTTATCTCAACATACATCCACAAAAGCGAATTTTTTAGAACGTTTCCTATATACGATATAAAGGAAAGTCGAAAGATTTTATTTCAATTAAATTCTATGGAACATTACATCCGCAGAATCCTTTTCCTTGTAGTGAGTTAATTGCTTGTACATTGATTTCTTATATTAGAATCAAAGAGAAATAGTTGGACAGACAAGTAGGCAGGGAGAGAAAGCGGCTCGATGTAAGAGTGCAATAAAGGAATTCAGTAAGCCTCGTATATATCGATATATACATATATATATATATATATATATATATACTGAAATAAAGTACATACACACATCACACATATATGTATGTATGTATATGCGTAGTAACAAGATAAGAAGTGCGACACACATATGTACGTGAAAATTACATGGTATCCTTTATATTCGTACGATGCATTTTCGTGTACATTTTGGCGCAAATCTTTGACAAACTCGTGCAAATTCTCTTTTGTTTAATTCTTTTGATCGAATCGTCAAGTTCTCGTATCTCTCAGGTGAAGTGAAATTAGTCGTGATAATTTTAAGCTCTATCGACGTGAAACTTTGCTTTCGGATACCCTGTAGACTACATGCGCCTGTAGGCCTGCAAACATAGTTATGCTTCTTATTTAACAAACTGCGAAATGATCGAACGAACAACAGTCTGATATATTTTTATGATAAAAAAAAGAATGAACAATATTCTCGATATTTTTATTTCTTTATGTTTCGCATAATGAAAATCGCTTAAATTAATCTACTCCTCTACTGCTGTTGCGCGATCAATATTGAACATTTTTCACTTAAATAATGTGTACAGAGAAAGAATGCTTTTCGTTGTACATTACGAACGTTTAGCGGTTTATTATATTAATAATCTGGAAACGTATAGCAACGAATAAATCTTGGCGAAAGAAAGAAGAGAAAAAAAAATGTCACTTTTGAACTCGCCGCTAATGGACTATGTAACTTAGATTCTGTTGTTGATTTAGTAGAGCTTGTTAAACTAACTTCTGCTACAGTTACAATAAAATACAATAAAGTTGAATATTTCCTGATTCCACTGAGTAAAACTGTTTACAAATATGTATGTACAGTCTCGCGTGTAGTTTCGTACATCAGTCAATGTATAAAAAATGCGATAAATAATTTTAACAAACTTGAAACAAAGTAACATATTTTGCGAACCAAAAGAAAACGCAAATAAATGTTTAATTTATATAAAAAGAAGGGAAGCGCTTAACACATGTGGTATCTTTCTAAGTTTTCGTTTTAAATGTGAAAAAAAAAATAAAACGCTGTGAAATAGTGATTTATTGACGAAGTACAGAAATATATAAATAATGATTTAATATGCAAATATAAATATTTAGTAAAAAAATTTGTGTTTTTAAAAATATCCATATTTCGACACACAAAATTTCTCGGTCGTACTTCGATCGAGAGTATTTAAATAATTAGAACTATATTTGCAAATTCTAAATAGTAGCGTAATTTTATAAAGGAAATACGCCGAAAAAACACTAACATTACAAACTTAAATTCTATATCGATCTTTTTAAAATCCGGACGGTTTGTCCCGATAAGACAAGCGCGTTACATCGTTCTAATCAATGTATGAAACACTATTTGCATGATTAATCGCGGGGTATCAGTGACAATTTATCGAGCTATATCATAATCGCAAGTCTCAGTAGTAACAATTGTATTAAACTTGCATTGAGAGAGATAATAAATTTTTAGTTGGAAAAAATTTCTCTTTTAGATCTATTATACACAGTCGAATGATCTTTCTGCAAAAATATGGAATTGTTAAGTCGCTACTGTATCGAAAACGATGTCGCATACATATAATTCCGAGAATAAGTCATATTCAAAAATCGGGAGGAGATTGAATTAAACAACATCACAATTATAAAAGTAAAAATAGAGAATTTTAGTGTATTACATGTAATACTTACAAGAGATGTTATCTGAATACACCGCGCGTGTTAATCGTTGTTAATCATTGACACTGAATATATATATATATATATATATATATATATATATATATATTTTCAGATGTCAATGTTGTTAATATATTTACATACAATTGTTGATTCATCAGAAATCTCGAAATAATTTCTGACAATTACTTTGTTCTTTTTTTCATTTAAAAGAAGTTGTTCTAAAAGAAAAATTAGTTTCTCGTCCGCAATAAAATAACTGTTAACGAAAAGTATTTTTAACCATCAAATGTGTTTACCAATTAAATTTTATAAGTTGTATAATACTCTCTATTGTGATTTCTTGATTAATTTAGAAGTCGCGAAATATATTTTTTATATAATTGCACGAGACGTGATCTGACAGCAATGTAACACATTCTGTATTATGTTTATCTTATTTGTTACATTATACTCTATTTAAAAAAATTTAAGAAAAAAATCTTGCTTCTTTTTTTTAATTCCTTCGACATTTAGCAAAATAAAATAAAATTTTATTCAGCAAAATTTGTATTACAAAATTGGTAGAGACGTGATTGCGAAATATGTACATATTTCTCAGCTATTATTATCGAAATACGATAATAAAAATTACATTTACAGACTGTGACTGGCAAACTGTACAAATAGTTCGAAGTGTATAAATATTATCCTAGTGGTATACATCGACGTGGGTCTTCGCAATGGTGCCTTAGCAGAGGTATATTAGCACCATACAAATGCAGCTTCGTTTTGAGATGATCGATATGAATTTCGTCTTATTTTGTACTCGGATTGGGAGGGGGATCCATGGTTACATAATTTCTCTCAAAACTTGACTGATTCGTTAAACAGATGAAAGTACCTCCGTCTCGATTTCGAATTTCAACTACGTTCGAAAATTTCGCTAGGGACTAATAAATAAAAATGCGCTTGTCTTTCCAATCTTTCTTAAGACTTAAAAGACGATTGACGACGAGTCAATTCAGTCGCTTTTTTTATTATTGGACGAAATGCGGCGATCTGTATAGCTATATGCGATGCTTTACAGATGGCAAAATCTAGCTAACGTTCGGAAAGAGATTCGTACAATTTATACATGTTTAATAATCGACCTGACGACTAATCGAATCTCTATCTTACATGACGGACGAGTTACCATTCTCCATATTACCCTCATAAAAGGACTCGCATTTCTCGAGCAGACGAAGAACCGGACTAATATTATACGGGAATAGCGCCTTAGATACCAATCGATCAATGGCTAACCGTAGTCTTATCAGTACCGTCATAGTATCGTCCAGTTCACGACCGCAACACTCGACGAACTCGCCCCAATTACGCCTGATGTACTTGAGAAATCGCAACAGGTACAACAGAAAACAGGTCTCGTTGCTAACTAGCAGATCCAGCAGCACATCCGGGTCATGGGCCACGACGTGGATGAATTGCACAAAAGTCAGCGTGGGTCTGAGGGGACTGAGTACCGATCTTGAAACCGGACCGTTCGGTGATCCACGATAGAAGAGACCCACGGCGACGTCCAGGCAACAGACCATACCCTCGATCAGAAAGTCATCTTGATCGTGAAACATCTGCACGACCCACTGAGACAGTGGCATCTCCGGATGGAAGGGCATCAGCGCCTTTACGCATTGATCCAGTTGGCGCAGCACTTCGCGGATACTCCTGTCAATTACCGCCATATCCTCGTCGAGATCTTCGGCCTCGGAATCCAGTGATGAGTCGCTGGAATCACTGCGCGTCTCCCGCACTGTTACGGCGGCACTCTTTAGCACTAGCAAAACCATCTTCTGCAACAGAGGACGATCACCGTCACCGGTGCCGCCTCCAAAGCGGCCTGAACCGTGACGGTAAGGTAATGCGTCGAGTAATCTGTGATCCTTGACGACTCGCACGATCAGAGTCGCCAAGGAACATGGTTCGTCCGGCAGCATATCTTGGAGTGCTAACGTGCTGCCGTAACATAGCACTTCATTGAATAGACTAAGCAGATGTCGCCAGACCACGCTTGGCAGATTGCTGTTGAGCAACCACACGAGATCGTTCAACTTAGAATAGAAGGGCTTGGTATCAATGACGGACAAATTAGCTTTGACCGAGATGATGGTTTCCCATAGATGTAGGAACGTGATGACGACAGACGCGTGTTGCGGCGTATAGGTCCTAAGAATGATTTTGAACTTGGATACGAGGATGGTCCACTTGGATTCGAGCGCCTTCACACACATTTCCTTGATCGCCGTACTGTCGAAGCTCTCGGTATCGGAGATGATGTGCGTGTTGCAGCCGGCCGATATGGTCGCGTCTGTGTCCTCCAAGGGGTGTATACTGCAATCCTTGTGTTCGACTACCCTCTTGACCACGTCCAGGGTGAAGAGCATCTGGCTAGGCGAGTGCGTGTTTACCAGAGATTGCATGAGCCTCTCCAACCAGACAATCTCCACGTTATCCCTCGTGAGGATGAAGAACGACGCCAGCACGCGACTCCCGGCGAATGACACGAATTTGTTGGACGTATATGACAGATCGATGATTTGATCGATAATGCCGTGCTCGTTTCGCGCTAGCGCATCGCAAACGTCCGCCACTCTCTTGCACATTACACCTCGCACATTCTGCTTGATGGCCAAGTCGAACAGTAACTGCAGAGCGCTCAGAAACTCCAGGGTCTGATCTGTATGCCATTCGGACAAAACGGCGGAACGGATGCTGCCATCGGCTTCCTCCACCGTGGTATTGATAAACGGTTTACGCAGACTGCTTTCTGGCATGTGACACAAGCATCGCATAAGCAGGTTACTTTGCAGTTGTTCAATTTCCGCAAGCCTGTTTTTGGCATCCTCGCAATTTTCAATGCGCTGCTTTTTCTTAACCGGTTCCTCCATTGTATCAATAAAAAGATAAAGATGATAAAGTGCGGAAGCACCATTAACTTTCATCAAGTTAGCTCTCTCATGTGGATGGCGCCGCAGAGAGAAGGATGTCTGAGGAATAATAAACGAATCTCATTCTGCGTCAGCCCATTGCAGTTACCAGGTATGTAAGGCCATCGGAAATACCTGTTGTAAAAGATATAATGTATTACATATATAAATAAAATGTGAATTTTATGTGTAAGATTTGTAAACAAAAAAAAAAGAGAATTTATTCATAATCCGTAAGGATAGTGTTCAGATAAATTTTCTATTTTTTTTCTGTACAACATTTTACAATTATTATATACTACAGTACAAACTTGAAGAGCTGTTAGAAATGTTATTGCAAGACTACAATTGATTTAATATAACAAAGTATAATAGACGACTCTGTGTAATACCAGAAGCTGGCCGACAGCCAGCGGATAAACTCACAGCATTAAATTCCCACCGAGGCTATCCACGCCGGGGATACAAACGAGACGTTTCCTAGTTCCTATACGAGGTGCAAGCGAGTGATTTCCGCATTCGCGCGCTCACACGGGCATTCCTCGAGGGCTGTACCGCTGTAAGGCTCGAGGGCACGCTCCTGCCGATCGGGTCGAAATCGGCGAGACTCGGAGCGAGCGAGGACTTGACGCAGGTCGGCGGGTGCGAAAATCGCGGGATGATAAGCGGATGCAACGCTGATAGAGCGAAAGCGTTGTCGTTGCTAGACTCGGTGCTCCGAGGTGGGATCCGACCTCGTCGAGTGGGGGGGCCTCGTCCCGTTCGGCGATGATCCTCGAGAGCGGGCGACACGGCGCGCGAAACGTCACTCGATCGGCCAGTCAGCCTCACCGAAAGCCCGAGGAAATTCCTCCCGACTCGGGGAAATGACAGAGCAGCGCGCACACACTAGGCTCGCACGGGCAAGCACGCACAGCACACAGCAGCCGTACACGCTGTTGCCACGTATACGACGTGCTACCGAGGGCGACGAGAAATACGGGAGCTCGCGCGATCGTCGAACGGTGTGGGCGACCAACGGTCGACGTGCGCACCGTGTCCGATGTCGGGCGGCGAGACGTCAAGTCCACGGCCGCGTCGCACGGTATTCCGGTCTGTTAGCGTGCATTCTCGGCCGGGCATCGTGCGGAGCCGCGTAACACGGTAGCTACCCGTCGCGCATTCCATAACGTACTGAGGGCGGTACGCGGGTCTCCGCGCGAGCGATCGCGCGGCGGACGCGACCGCCGGACGAGATAATCCGTCGGCGTCTATAATACGCCGTTATCGCGGATAAAAGTCGCCCGGATCGAAATGTCGTGCGATAAATAACCGCGCGATCATCGGCAACTCAGCATCCGACCGTGGCGACCCGCCGCGGCTGTCGCGGCCACTCGAGGCGGGCGATTCGATTCGTCGCGAGGAACCTTTTTCGCGCTCGTGCATTTTTCTCATTCTTTTCTCGTTCAATAAGACTCACCCAGGTAGAACATGAAACTCATAATGACATCATTATTTACGTCATCATGATTTTATTTATCACTTAAAAGTTAGCTAAACGAAAATGATTAAAAAATGAGTTAAAGATGACAAAAAGAATCAAATTTTTAAGTTCAATAATCGCATTATATAATTTTAAGAAGATTGTTTTAATACGATTAAAATGAAGATTTGTTTTAATATATTTGTTTTAATACGATTAAAATGATTAATGTCTAATCATTAATATTTAATCTGTTTTAGGCCCATCAAATCCATTTGAATGTGACGAAAATTTACCCATAGTTGGCCGTCTTTAATAATGCTTTCGATGGCTCGGACAATTCCGGTTCTGGTATAAAAGCGGCGCTGGCATCTTCCCGCAACGCGCGACGTTTATCTGATCGGAAATCGGAAGTAGTCTCGCAATCTCATCTCGCGGCTCACGGGTGACACGGGTCAATTGCAGTCGGAAAATGGCGTCGTCGAAAAGCCAACGGTGGATGGTAGACTCGGGCATTCTACGTAAAAAGAATATCGACGAGGAACCGCAGGAGCTGTTGGTGTTTGGATATAGCTGCAAATTATTTCGCGATGATGACAAGGCGAAAATGATTGATCAGGGAAAACATTTGATACCATGGATGGGCGATAGCGCATTGAAGATAGACAGGTCCGTTTCTCTAACCTAGACAAATTTCTCATCTAGGATATTTGTTTCTCCTCCTGCATATAAGATTACGCATCGTACATAATGTCACGTTAAATCTCCGATGAAAATGATTGACTTAAACCAAAAAAAAAAAAATCAAAAAAAATTGAAACAAAAATCAACACCAAGCGCCAAGTGCTACATTTAAAAGCAAAAAAAAAAAGGGGTCCCTCTTTCTCTCTCTCTTCCATCATTAATCTCTGGATAAGCAAACTGGAGACTGTTTAAGGCTTCCGCAGGTGTTATCTCGGCTGTGAAACGCGCAGTGTGGCAGCGCGATTTATGCGCTCTGCACGGGCGCAGAATCAGGTGCTCTCGTGACGCGGCGCTTATGGCTGGCCGTCTATGCAACAGCAAGGTGAGACACAGCGTAGAGAGACAAGTGGCAGCTGACGGTTGTAGGTATTATACGACCGCTCAGCATGGTATGTATTAGCACATTAGACTCAGCTTTGTCTCAGGAAGCGCATAGGTCATTTTTACGTATAAATTTGTCGATGCTACATACACACGCATATGTATACGCATCCAAATTTATTTGTATCGATACTGGAGTAATACTGCACAATATTCATATTTTGTCATGTTGATTTTAAGTATATAGTGTAAATAGCTGCTTAGAAGAAAATCTGTTTCATATGTTTAAAGATCTCATATAAATTTAAAGATAAACGTAAATATATAGCAGAAACTATACTTTTATGTATTATATATCGCAAATATATTTATTTATCGTGATATTTAGTTCACAAAACATGCAATAACTGAGATAAAAACATTGCGCAAGGTGTCCTCTACAACTCTGTTTTATTTCAGAGAAATTGCTTTGGTGAAATTTACTTCTTGAATTTATTTCTTAAATTTGCAGATGCCGTGGCCAACCGTGTACATCAATCTAAAACGATATCATCTTCCGTCTCTAATGATTATATTGTATGTGTATAGATACGATGGACGAGGAGCACTGGCTGACTTACGGATTCATGAGCCACCACCAGGTGGTTTTGATCAACGGACGATACTTACCGAAGAGGAATTGAAAGTTGAACAACTTTGCGACGAGGAGCGCTATCGATCCCTCTACAACAATGATGCGGAAGAATCCATGTATCATGGTAATATATCTTTTTTTCTAAACACGTTTAATTATATTTTAATTGTTATAATAGTTTAATATATATTATAAAAACATGTCTATTGCAGAAGAGGAAATAAAAAGATTACATCAAGCATTGGATTCTGAATCTTCGTACAATCAAGCAGGATATAATTACAATGAAGATGAAAACAATCAGAAGGCTTCCGGCGAGGACTCCCAGAGTCCGAAACAATCGGAGGGCTCGCAAGAAGAAGATCAGGCGTTCGTGCCACCTCCCGAATTAGAAATTCCCGAAGGAATGATTCTGGTAAAGATTATTTATCTATTGATTACACTTTTGTCAATATAACATGTTTAAATAAAGATATGTTATTTCGTGTATTTAGCCGGAGACACAGAAATTGAGTGCCATTATAACAAAAACGGCGCTGTTTATAAGTCAACACGGAAGCCAATTGGAAATCTTGATAAAAACGAAACAGGCAAATAATCCGCAGTTTGCGTTCCTATCGATAGACGAGCCACTCCATCAGTATTACAAGTTTGTCCTCGATGCTATCAAGAATGGAAAATATAATCCCGAAAAGCAGCCTGAGAAAGAAGAATCCGGTACGCATTTTATTTTCTATAACAAACGATGTCTTATAGTAATTACATTGAAGTTGACGTTATTGAGTTGAAGTAATTGAAGCGACATAAAGCAGGATTTGATTACCCACACCTACTTTGATTCTACTTAGTTTTTCTTGCCGTAAGTATTGCCATAAATTTTTGTTAATACTTAATACTTTATGTAATTGGTAATCATTATGCATAATCTATTTTAATGATTTCTGAGAGATATACTTGATTCTTATCGTTATCTTTCTTTTTTACTAATAGAATCTGAGGATGAGTCAGACCAAGATGACGAATCGTATCTACATCCAAGTCTTGCGCCATCATTTACCAAGATTGAAGCGGTAAGTTTATACTTGTGTACACAGATTATTTGCACGCTATACATTAATCTATTCTTAAAAATGTATAAGTGATCCCTCTCATGTGGAAGAATTTTGTGTTCGAAGTAGTTCGAAATGTGGAAGACCTTTGCTGGACCACACTGAATTACTTGTAGAATGATGCTCTCAAAATTCACGGATCAGAATAGAATGAAATGTTAATAGTACTCTGCAATACTAATTTATGTGTCAAATATTTCTGCTTCCAGGGCTGATTCTGGTATGCATTGGATATTAATGTATTCTCATACAATTTTATTTATTCGTTTAAAATTATTCCTTAAAATAATCCTTTCATTCCCCGCGCTTTCATTCATAATGTGTCAATAACAATATATCAAAAATATAATAAATGCATATGATTAGTAACTTGTAGTTCTGTTGTTTTAACACAGAAATAATGAAGTGATTAAAATATAATCAAATAAAATTAAAATTCTTTGTGCATTATATAATGAAAAATATAATATTAGTATTTATAAATACTATTACATGAATTGATCGAAAAATAAAATTCCTAGCTTATATTTTAACATAAAAGTTCCATTTGTGCATAAGTTGTAAATAAAAGTCTATAAGTAAAAGAATCTATAAAAAAGAATCTTATTTTACGATTAATATATGGTTGAGAAAAAAAAATTATATATATTTATTTAATAGTTATTTTAATTATTGTTTATAATTTTGTATATTTAGAATTAGACACACACATATACACACACTTTGTTGTTTTCTATTATCTACATGTAAACTATTTCTAAGACTAAGAAAAAACACATTATATATATATATATATATATACATATATATATATATATATATATATACACATATATATATATATATATATATATATATATATATGTAAAATGTATATTTCTTCAGTTTTTATTTTGATAAATATTGTAGAAAAATACAAGTTTAAACTAAATGCAAAATTAATATAAAAAATATTCTTTTCATTTTTATAGGCGCCTAGCATACCGAGCATACAATACAAACCATCAGCGGATTGCGCGTATTCCATGCTCGTGAATAAGATTACGGGAAAACCACCGCCATCCAAGGTACCGCAGGCATTAGACCCGACGATGCAGCCGATGCCAACGGCTGGATACTATCATCCAATGCCACCACAGGTATGTATAATTTAGAGGCATCATCTTAATAGCAGAATATATCGATAAAATTAGTGGAATATTATGTTTTTTTCTTTTTTTTTTCTTAATTTTTTATTACTTTAATTAGTTTAATTTTTATTACTTTAATTATAATTTTCTTTTTCAGACTTATCCTCCTTATCCTACGCCCATGCAGTACTCACACGGTCCGGTTATATATGGGCCAAACGGACAGATGCAATCACAACTTGTCAATATGTCAACCATGTCAAGCGACGCGACTATGACGCAAACCACATCAACCAAGGAAACACCATCGCCCTTGGTACCGTACGGAATACCTGCACAAAAGCCACTTAGCAGACCTTCCTTTATTGTACCTCCAGCGGATGTGCAAATCATCATCGATAAGATGGCGAGTTATGTGGCGAAAAATGGTCGTGATTTTGAGACGATCGTTAAAAATAAAGGAGATTCTAGATTCAATTTCTTAGAACTGTCGCATCAGTATCATGGTTACTATGCGCACAAGTTGACGATATACGAAGGCGCGATAAATCCAAAAGTGTTGACGGAGGAGAAGCTGCTGCAAAAGCAAGAACCGCAAGAGGAAAAGCAAAAAAAATTAGAGGAACTGCAGAAGAAGCAACAGCGAATGGAAGAGGTGCAGAAGCGGGTGAAGATGATACAGGCAAAAAAGAAGAATGGGGACACAAAGACGAAACAGAATACGGGATCCGCAAAACAGATCACCACCGTATCGTTCTCCATCAAAAAGCCGAAAGATGGGGAAAGCACGGTAATCGAGAAAAGAAACGCGTTACCGTTGGAAGAAAGTGACGAAGAGATTGATGATGACAAAAAGGACGCGAATTCTAAACCCGGTTCACCTCAGAGTATTGCTGATTCTTCGATTCCCACGATCGAGGACAAGGATCCGCCGAAATCGGACAAGAAACCAAAAAGCGACGACAAAGAATTGGTTGATCTCACTGATGATATCCTGGAAGATTGTCAGAAGGAGATCAGGCATAAACAGGCACAGGAAGACAGACTCAAAGACAAGTTGATGGCGGCCGCGCGAGATAAGGTATTGTCCAAAGAACGACAGTTACAACTTGAGAGGAAAAAAAAAGCTGCCATCTTTCTCAGTCACATCCAGACACCGATATCCAAGACCGGTTCTACCACTATTACAGTAAATCAAAATTTCCGAAAAGATGATTCCGATGAAGTGTATTCTGTGCCATCGCTACTGCTTGCTGAAGAAAATAAAGATAAATCCTCACATGATACGAAGACATGCGGGAATTCCTTAATGGATCGATTGAAGAGCGCAGACTTGAGTGGCAAGAGATCACGACAGCGTTCCAGAAGTCGAAGCGGAAGTCGCACGGACAGGCATAAACTACATAAAAAACACAAGAAAAAGAAAAGTTCTCATCGAAGGTATTTAAAATTATTTGATTTTTTAATTTTGAAATATTTTTAAAAGTGTTTTATTTTTATAAAAATGTATGTGTGTGTGTATATTTTCAGCAGTTACGATAGCTCCAGCTCTTCACGCTCCCATCGTTCCAAAAAGAACAAGAAATCGTCTTCGCATAGATCGCGCTCGCGTAGTCCTTCGCATAGACACCGACACAATGTACGACACCGAGGGAGTAATACGAGTTACTCGGACTCGAGTTCGCCTTGATGACATTTATCCGCTTGATTCAAATAAGTGTGTCAAGCAATGTTGTATATACGTACATAAAATGAATATACGTAACATATATAATTGCGTATATATTGTGTGACGATAAATTTGATACAATTTTTGTCACAAAGTAACACAAAAAAATTTACTTGCTCCTTAATTATCATTAAACGTGTTTATTACAAATTACATCTCTTATGCCATTTATATATGTGTATATTTTTTCATCGTCGATCATATTTTTTATGATGTATCCTTTCAATGATAATATCATTTTTTGATGTTATTTATCTATGTCTCAAAATTCAAACTTTTTATCATACTTTCCATCTCCAAATTTCTCCTAAATTCCGGTTTGCTTAAAGTACGTACATATCAAAATTTTTATCATATTTTCCATCTCCTTTTTATCATACTTTCCATCTCCAAATTTTCTAAATTCCAATTTATTTAATATATACAAAGATTATTTTCCAGAAGTGACTTTAACGCTTTGCATGATTGTTATCAATAAGTCAAATAAATACCTATTAATACCTATTAATACAAGTAATACCTATTAAAATAGAAAGAAAAATACATAAGATGCATTGTGTGATAAAAAAAAAAAATAAAATAGAGTATAAAATAGAAATTAAATTCAAAATTGCTATTCTAAATCTGATAATAGTGGGGGAGAGAGAGAAGTATTAAGATAAATCTCACAGAAATATTGATTGTACAAACATATAAACATAAAAGTTTACTGATTATAGTATAAAACGATTATGCAATATTAAAAGGGTTATCAAATTGGATATTTCCATGCACTACGCAAGTTCAATAATAAACATGCAAATATCGTTTTACTTACGTATGCATTTACTACAACATTTATGTGTGTGTGCGATGTGCGATATCGCGGTGTTAAATCACCAAAAGCAAAATATCTGAAGATTGAAACGCATATACCACGTGTAACCCATAATGCGGCAATTGAATCCATTTATAACAGAACGACGTCAATTATATTATATGTTTGACATCATTTTTTTTTTCGCATGTTTTTGTTGCGCGTCAAGCGTCAAGTGTCAACTGATCATCATAGCAAATCGATCCAATTTAACACGGTTAAATGAACAATCACTATTATCAATGTAATAAATTGCAGATTTATGGATGGATGCTTTAGAAGCCTATTTTTAGACATGCTATTATTCTTGGCATCTCTATTTGTTTCGCTAATTGTATCTTGTTTTATGGTCATTCACAAACAAATAGCTGCAATCGTTTCTTCAAATTATCAAATTTTTATTAATATTTTTTATTAGAATATTTTTTTATTTTTTACTTCTTTTAGGATTATTTCATTATTGTATATATAAGATTTACGATTTTTCTCAATTAATGAGCGGACGAACATACATAAGACCTTCATTGAAATTAGATCGCTAAAATAAAAATATTCCAATCGTAAATTTTTTTCAAATCGTTCATAAAAGAGATACGCGCCACAATTTCTTTCATCATATAAAGAATGTCATTCATAACGATAAATGATAGCTTCCTATATCAATTTCATTTTCTGCATTTTACTGTTTTATATTATCACATTAAAAACAAAATAATGATAATTATTATGATATTATGTTATCTAAGAAATTAACTTTGATTTTAACTTCAATTTGAATTTCATACTATATTAATCATAAGAATTGTACAAGAGAAGAGGGGGAGGGGGGGAAATATATATATACGATATAGTGGCATGATTTGACACATATGCGAGTGACTTACCAGTTAGGCGATAAGGGGATCAAGGGTGAACTGTCTTCGACTTTATAAGTCACATGTGCGCAGGATAGAACAGGCGGCAGTTGCATTTTCATTAGTAACCGATCAACAGCTACAGGATGTCCGTTACGACTGTAAGTACCCCAATTGCACTTTTGATAGAATTTCGTAGCAAAAATTCAAAATTGTAATAAATTCAATATTGTAGTATCACGGAAAACTACTTTCTTCTATATATTTATTTCTATATATATATTATGTATATTGATTATTTTATAAATAACTTTTTAGGTTTTTCTGAATAATTTCTGTACATATTTGCTGTGTATGTAACGAGTATTTGCTGCTTTATTTTAAAGCTTTATTTTTTATCATAACTTATTTTATTTCAAAAATTTCATCTTATATTGAAAATCTGAATCGATTTTGAATAAAAGTTAGTTGGAATTATTGCTAAATATATATACATTTTTTAACAACATTATTATTTGATGCTTTTTAAGATATATTGATTGGTAAATTCCTTCTTTTTTAGAGATATAATTTATCTTCGTAAATATCGTGGAAAATTCACATATATCTATGACATTTCGAAATATTTTCTTTAAAAAGCTTCAAGAAAAAACTAATAAAATTATTGCACGTACAATGTTCTCTATCGTGTTATCGATCACCGTGATTTGCGTCATAAATCATTATTTTTACATTAAATTGTATTATTAAATTTTTATGAACATATATAATATCTATGCTCTATTTTTTAGATATGTAATAAATAGTTAAATATTAACGCAACATAATTTAAGCAAATTTTGTTTTTTTTTGTTCTCTTTTGTATATTAAGCGAGATCCTCGCTAAAGAAGATTAGAATTATAAAGATACTTATATATAGAGAAAGATACTTAAATAAATTTTATTTGAAATAAACCAGACTTTAGAAGAAATATCTTACATATTTTGAGATTGAAAAAAAATGATCATAGAGATCTGAAAAGATTCTTTTTCTTTTATTTTATTTTTATATTGAGGGAAAGCACATATATGTGCTTTCCCTCAATTCCTCGTTTATTCTGTATATTTATACAAATATTTATATAGATATATTTTATATTTATATAGATATATTAAAATAATCATATATTAAAATAATTGACTTTGCGACATAATATTTAACTTTTGTAAACGGAAAATTTAATGATCATTTTAAAACTTTAAAAAGAATACATTAAGAATATTTGTTTTATATCATTTGACAAAATATATAAAGAAATACATTAAGAATACATTAAGTACAGTAAGAATACATTAAGAATACACTGAAAAAAAAATTTTGTTGAATATTGCCAAAAAAATATTCTGTTGTAGTAACTGTACATCGTTGTACTGAACTCTCTGTTTGGATGATTTGAATAAGCTTTTTTTACATCAACAATTATTTCGGAATATTTTAGTTATATTTATTTGAACGTATCGGACAATATATTTAGTTGAGCAAAACAAATTTTGCCTTTTTCAACCAAGTTTTGTTTTCAGTGTACAGTAAGTAAAGAATACATTAAGAATATTTGTTTTATATCATTTGACAAAATATATAAAAATATTCCATAATTTGTGCAATAAATATTCCATAGTTTGTTGCTATCAATGATGAACTTATCGAGCGCCACTATCTTATTTATGAAAATAGAAAAATATTTTAAATAACATCAATGTAAATAAGTTTTCCTTTGTAGTAGCTAATGATAAAAACAATCTTTCGTATAATACACTATTATGTATTGGTATTGCACAATGCTAATAAAAATTAAATTTTGAATCAATTTTTTAAGTACATATTTAAAAATAAAATTTTGTACGAATATATGAAATATTAATTTTTAAAAGTGAATATAAAGGAGAAAATATATTATTATACTAAAGAATCCTAGATTTTAATACTTAAATTTTGTCAAATGATCAAACTATACATATTTTTAGTTGGTAATAATGTATGTAGTAAAAAAAATAAGATGTAGTAAATGTAAAACATGCAAATTTTTTTTGATGGAATGTTAAAAGTGATTGATTTGCCGCAGCAAAATCGTAACTATGCTAAGTTATTGGACCCATCGGAACAGCTTCGACCCGAGCCGATATATGCCGGAAAATTGCAGAGTGAATTCCGGAAATTCGACGAAGATCTTGAAGATTCTATCAAGGAACGCGTTCGCAAAACTTACGAGCTGATGCACTCCAATCAAACCGTCGAGTTTGTGAAATGTTAGTAAAAAAGAAATTATGTACATCATTTTTATATCACATTATAAATTACATATTTTATTTGCCTTGATTGTTGATTAATGAATGTTCGTCTCTAAATAATTTGACCGATTGATTGATGTCTTATAATTATTTATTATCCGAATATAGTCAGAAAGACGAAGACATGTTAAAAAAGTGGTAAAATCGCTGTTCCTTTTACAGCTCGTATGAAAGATTGGCTGAAATTTAATAAATTCAAGATGACGATAAAGGATGCCCTGCTCAAACTAAACGATCTCGTCGACGAAAGCGATCCGGACACTAATCTACCTAATATTGTTCACGCGTTTCAAACTGCAGAGTCTATCAGGGAAGAACATCCAGATCTAGATTGGTTTCATCTCACCGGCTTAATTCACGACCTTGGAAAGGTAATATAAAATATAAAAGTAGATAATGCGCATTCTGTGACAAGTATATAATTTATCATAACAATAAAATAAAGAAAGGAATCTTAAAAAGATACAAAATATCCTTTTAATGACAATCTTTAAATATGAAGTCGATATCTTTTCTTAATGGAAATTTTCGAATTACAAGCTTGAAAAGCGGATTATTTCGATTATTGGATTATTTCGAAGATTAAATACTTTCTCTTGAGATGCAAATGAATAAAAAATTAAATTATTCAGCTAATCTTAGATAGATAACTTATTTTAATAGAATTTTAATCTGAAAAGTAATTACTATTTAAAAAGTTGTGATAAATGATAAGCAATTCAGGTCGAAGAATTTATTGTTAAAAATTAATGCGCGAGACATAAGACACATTTTTTTTGTATAACTTTTAATAAATTCAAAAAAATATACGCGTGCGGTCAGGTTATTATTCTATCAATATTCAATCGATAACAAAGTTAATTGTGTACAAAGGTGATGGCATTTTACGGAGAACCGCAATGGGCTGTAGTGGGTGACACGTTCCCTGTCGGTTGTGCCTGGGGTGATTCAATCGTGTACAGAGCAACGAGTTTCGACAATAATCCCGATGGCAAAGATTCTCGTTATAAGTATGTTTTAATAATATATATATCAGTTTTAAATTCGTTCATTTTTAAAGTGAAATGACAAACATGTCATCTACTTGAAAATAACAAAAAGTGAAGATAGAAATAGTTTATGAAATAGTTTATGTTTCTTTCTTACTTTTTTTTATTAAAGTATTCTTTTTCATTGCAATGTTTTCATAGAATAGCAATAGAATGTTTCATTTCGTTCTCATAGAATAGCAAAATTAATTTTTTCATTATCAACTGCAAAAAAGATACGATCAACTTGAAGGATAAATATAAGTAAAATATTTTTATAATAAAGCATTTTAGAGGAAAAATTGTGGTACCAAAATAACTTTAAAATTCACACATTTTAAATATTGAAAAAAATGCTGGAAATATAGGATATAGAAATTTAATAATTACAAATATATCATCTATATATTGAGATTATTTTTTTATTTTACAGTACAAAATACGGCATGTACAAACCCCAATGCGGAATATCTAATTTAATGATGTCTTGGGGCCACGATGAATATTTGTATCGCTTACTTGTACATAACAAGAGTAAATTACCGAAGGAGGCTTTGGCTATGATTCGTTATCATTCCTTTTATCCTTGGCATGCCGGTGGTGATTACATGCACTTCTGTTCTTCGGAAGATTACAAGATATTAAAATGGGTTGTAAAATTCAAGTAAGTATCAAATATATCACAACTATTTTAACATAGTGAAGTATAATAAACATAAAAAGAGACATGTTAATTAAAAAAATTATTACTTGCATAATTATAGATTTGAATACAATAAAATTAAGGAACAAAAAATTGATTTTATGAATTTTATTAAAAATTGCTATTATATTTAATTTAAATTACGAGCAATTATTAAAAATCTGAAGAAATAGTATTTGATTAATTTACTAAATTATTAAAAATTTTGCAGCAAATTTGATCTTTATACTAAGAGCAACGCCGTACCTGACATTGAAAAACTATGGCCCTACTATGAGAAATTGATCGATAAATATATTCCCGGTGTGATTGAATGGTAAAAGTTATCCTCTTATTTCGGTTATATTAATATTCAAAATATGATATTTTAAATGAAGATATGTTACACGCAAATAATATGAAATTTATTTTATCCTTGGACACATATATGTAAATACGTATTTGATAAAAAGAACTCCTGAATATAATTTTTATATTTTAATAAAACTAATACATATATAAAATTTTAATAAAACTAATACATAATTTTATAAAACTAATACATATAATTATACTGGTGTTACTTATACTGATACTATTTTCATGTTTTTATGCAATATGTTATTATGTAATATGTTATTATGTAATATGTTAAAATATAATATAAACAACAATCAAGCATGTAAGCAAATCTAAACAATATTACATATAAACAAATTTGCAAATCGAATCAAACAATATAATTAAGAGTTTGCTGAATCTCTCGAAATGTATAATTCGCAATTGTTATTTATTAATTTCTTATAATATATAATTATATATATATATATATATATATATATATACATATACATATATATATATATATATATATATATATATATAATATTAATTTCTTCAATTACGAAGAAATATAATATATATTTCGACTGCGAGTATGAGTTATTGTACAATAATTTATGGCATAATTTATGACATCCTTCTGCGGAAGGGATCTCTATGCGCGAGTTCGAAGATTTCAGTGCGCAGTTCGTGGAGCGCTCAAGCTTACGCACATTCCGAAAATATACGCACTCAAGCTTTTAGGCGAATAAAATTGATTAGACCTACGCATTGACTGACGTAATGATAAAGATCGCGGTTGTCTCGATTAGGTGAGTAATCCGTTAAAGTTAAACGATACGCGCGAAGGGGAGCTTGATTCACACGGACCAGGCAGATACCTCGAACGAAGAATTCGTCCTCTCCAGGAACTAGTTTGTTGATTTTTTTATTAGTATATTCGCGTTCAGATGATAAATTATACGTAAGGTCACTGTGAGGTATAACATAATTCGTTCGTCATTATCATAATTAAACGATATAGAATTTATTTGAAGATATGTAATTAATTAATTCGATCTGATAATATAAATTGTTCTATTATCTATTAATACATAATGATAATGTGCAAATAGTTTTATACAACGATTTTACATACGATCTTACAAGTTGTTCTTATTATAATTACTATCACGAGAACGTAATCTAGAGCGTTACAGTTAGTAAAGTCCCGTTCAAGGGTGGTACATAGTTAGTGACAGCTAACCGAGCTATTCCGTGCGTTGTCACACTTATCACATATTATGAATACGATAGAAGTTAAAGTTTTGGCATACACGGCTGTCCATCGATGTGTGAAAGTACCTAGGAAGTTTTCAATAAACCGGACACAATCCACTGTGCTAGACGACACACCGGTATGCTAACAGTGTCGCGCTATCATAATAGGGTGCAGCCTCTTTATCGTATGTTTCCACATATGCACACAATAACATCTCATCTTGCAGTTATATTTTCGCGATGTTGCTTTCGCATACTGGAAATGGAGAAATTTCCAAATTGCATGATATATCCATTATATGGATAATTGTAAAATACAAGAAAGCAACAATGTAGAAGTAAAAAAGTTTGTTTGGATAATGTGCGTGTATTTCAATGTTTGCAAATAATTATATACAATTATATACAAAGTTAAAGTTAACATATAAAGTAAAAAAATTAGCTTAAGATTTTATATTATGAAGAGTTCTCTCTCTACATTTAAAAAGATAATTGTAATTACTTATTTTTAGCAAGTAATAATTGTAATTATTTATTTTTAGTAAGTAATAATTGTAATTATTTATTTTTAGTTATTAATTATATAATTTGTTAATGTAATTTTAATGATTACATAATTTAATTATAGTAATTTATTTTTAATTTTATATTCGAAGCTATTTAATTTCGTTTATTTTATTAATTTTAATTATTAATTCTTTCTATTATTTTTTTAGTTTTAGTTTACTTTTATTATTATTTTTATTATACTAATTTATTTTTATTAAGTTTATTATTATTAAGTTTATTTTTCAATATAGATTTAGATTATTAAAATGTATTTTTTAAGATTTATTATTATTTAATGAGAAAGGAAGAGAGAAGCTTTATTAAGAACATGACAGTAATTGCAAAATACTATTCTTCGTAAAAAAAAGTATTTAAATCATTTATATAAATATTCTATTCATTTAAATCTATACGAGATAATCTTTATGGACGATTATCTATGTAGAAAAATATATTTAATGTACAATAACCTTGCAATAAAAGTTATAAGAAAAGTTAATTCAGGTTCTTTCTTATAGAGTACCTGTGTATGAATCTTGTTAACGAGCGAATGATCGATCGTAAACTGTTGTTTTGTATGGGATAATTGGTTATGTTTAACAAGCGAGTTGTGCACATATAAAATACATGCATTCTAATTGTATTGTTTCGCAATTATATACCTTTGCCAATCTCACGAGGCATTTAAAACATACACGTGTACAATTTTCATCTCTTTTAATGTCATCGCCCTATTTGGATCTCGAAAGAATCTGTAATTAATACGCGTCAGAAATTGATCATGAAAAATCTATCTGTATGTGTGTGGGCGTAATACATATTCATTGACTGACTGGATGACACGTGTGATTCATGGCACTTTGCTTAAAAAATTCTTAAATTAAAGATATCTTTCTTAATCTATATACAAAAATAAGAAACATGATTTCGCTATAAAAATACTTCTCATATTTTTTTATGCATAATATTATATAATTTATATGAACTTTGATACATTGTAATATTCTTATGGTCTCATCGATCTCTGGTTGCCGCGGAAAGAGATCCGAAAAGTAATTGTATTGTCTAATTGACGTTATTAACTGCAACTCGTTAAGGAACTCGGGGTGAAATTATTTCGGTTTATTAATGAATCGACCCGCCTCGAGAGTAATTGTCGGTTTTCTGTTGTGCATCGCGATGTGCATTTTTGTAGAGGTCGCGAAGGAAGAGGGGATTGGGTCCCTTCACCAATCTGGAACGTGTACATACAATGTAATAAAAGGTATAGGTTCCATATAACCATATAGTTATTCAACCTGAAATGAGGTTACATCGATCTTTCAATGCGTGAAGGTGTGTAATGCTGAAGTTGCGCTGACACATTTCATCATATATATATACATATATGTATATATGAGGAAAGTACAATACATTTACGCGTAAGTGAAGAAAATGCGACATACATTTCGTGTAATTTTTTAAATTAAATTTGTATTATCATATATGTATATATATATCTATATTACTCTACTTTCTCACCGTCTCACTTACTTTAATTAATTACTTACTGTGTACATTTTTTCCTTAATTTTGTTAAACTCTTTTTTATTGTAGAGATTTAACAAAAGTTGGAATATGATTCTATAAGAAATTATTAATGTATTTGCAGAAAGATAATCTTTTTGTTTTATAAAAATTAATATAATAAGCGATCACTATGTTTATATCTCTATTTTGTTGCAAAAGAGAGAGAAAAATTATTAATATGAAGAATTTATTAAGAAATTAAGAAATTAGAATTTATTAAAATTTACAAAAATAAATTCTGAGACAAAATTATACGATAAAAAAATAAAATTCTATATTTCTAAACGAAACGAATTTATAAATGAAATGAAATGAAAAAGAAATATAATATAGAAAAATAATATATACAAGATTAGAAGTTTAATTTATATATTCAATATTTTCAATAACACATTTTAAGAATCCTTACGACAATAACATTTCTGATTATAAAAGAATGCAGAGCTTGTTGCAACGAAATGTATTCCTGTATCTTCTCACGACGGTCCCTTACTTCGAAGATGCGATCGGCCGGTCGAGTTCGTTACCGTTCTCCGTCGAGAAGGGGCTTCTTTATTTTTAGTAGATTCATCGGCATTCGCTGCCGGCGCTCCTTGTCGTCTTCGCCTCACGGAACTTCGATATTCGTCTCCGCATGATTTCCGCTTCGTGGTTTCGCCACAGCGTTACTTCCTTTCGTCAGAACCTCCGCGCGATTCGTCCTGTTCGAGATTCTCGACGACCCTGATCTCATTTAAGCTTGAACAACTCTTCCATCATTTTGTTTTTAAAACGTGACTAAAACAATAGTCTTACAATAAAGTAGCAAATTTAATATTTAAAATAATGGTAATATCTATTACTTATAATAGACATACTATATTAAGATAACAATATTAAGGTAAAATTATGTATCTAATAGTTAAAGAATATTTTTTCAATAATTGTAACATATTAGCTTGTAATTCGTTCTTTTATTTTTTATTTTTTAATCCGTATCTTTCGGCTTTGGATACAACTTTCAGTTTTACATTTGTAATTTTTACGGAGTGTAAATGAACTTTTTAAACTTTCTTATCTAAAGTATAATCTCTGACGGTATATAAAGTAAAATAAAATAGAGATTATAAAATAGATTACAAGAATAGAAAAACAATAACTAAATTTAATATTATTTAAAATTCGTAGAAATTACAGTTATGCGTAAAAATAAAAATAATATCGCATAACGTACATTAAAATTTAAATAAATAAATAAAAGTAACATCAAATATATATAAAAATAAGAAATCAAGATAATTTTGATTGCGACCCATTAGTCCCTTAAGATTAAAATTAAAATCAAAATTAAATTTGTAATTCTAATTACATGTGATAAATTATTATTCGTAATATTTTTACAGGACTATAAAATATAATCTTCTAAACTTCTTTTTCGCTAGAATCTATCTTTGCATTCGGAATTGATGAAGCGACCAGAGAGATAGGAATCGTGACAAAGCGATAAATCGTTCCCGCGGCGCTCCTATGGACTCAGGTGACTTACCTGGAACTCCAATTAGTGATTCCGCGATGAAGGGAACGAGCGAGCGTGGCCGCGAGTGCGCATAAACGCGAGGCGCGTGATTACAATCGCGAAAGGAACCTCCCCCGCTAAGCAACATTAGCTGCGTGTCGACGAAATTGGCTTAGTCAGCGGTCGCATTACAGGGCATTACGGAACATTAACGGGACAT